CTGGTTCCTGAGGTCCGTTGGTGACTAAGAACACCAGCTGGACCCCACCTCCCAGAGTTTCCAGCCTGAAGAGGGAAGCAGACAAGTGTGAAACATCAGAACTGCGATATGTGATCTGGGCAGGGGGCTGGAGGGCTTGAGGAAGGCTTCCTGGAGGAAGGGGTATCTGAGCTGATCCTTGTAGGCGGAGTCACTGTGAAGAGCTTGCTTAGCAGGGGACCAGAGCCTCAAAGCTGAAAAGGGCAGGCAGGTTGTGGGGAGGCTGAACTGGGTAAGGCCCAAATGCTGGCTCAGGCTAAGGCCAGGTGGGCTCATCTCGATGTTGGCCTGTGGTGGCTAAAGTCTTGTGCAAATGGCATATGTTATGAATCATTCCCAGAAGCAGGGCCCTTGAAGGCCATGTGCCAGTGACAGAAGGGCTCTAGTGCTGCTGCTTTTAGTGCCAGCAGCCCGACCTCTCTAGTTAATGTGGAAAAGAGTGGTTCTGAGTTTGCACAGCTGTTTGATTTATAGTCCTGTCTCTGGTCAGCCCTTTGAAGTGGTGGTTTCAGAGCCACGTGGAATAGAGGGAAGGGCTGGCTGTGAGAAACATGGGGATAAGGACCACACGTTTTCTTCCTCTGGCACTTCTGAGCACACGTTATGTGCCAGGTGCTGTAGTAGGAACTGGGGATATGAGGGAAATACGGTCCTTGCCCTGATGTCTGCCCTGACTCTAACCTAGTCTTTTGGAGGTCTCCATGCTGTAGTTGAATATGAGCTAGGTATCATCATTCCTGTTTACAGGTGGGTGAACTGAGACTCAGAAAAATTAATTATCTTCCTTGGGGCCGTGCAACCTAGTATATGGTGGATTTGAACCCAGATGTGTTCAACCCGGAAGTCTGGGAGCTCATGTCTATTGGGGGAGATCGAGGCAGAAGCTGTTAACTGTAGTATGAGGCCCCTCCATGATCGGGGCTCTGAAAGAGTCACACGACACACCAGGAAGGGGAGAGGTGAACTCTGACTTGGCCTGGGTAGGAAACTCCAGCAGGTATTGGAGGAATAGCTGCTGGGTGAGTGTGTGCCTGCTGGGCAGGGCCAGGGGCTATGGAACGGAGCTGGGGGCTGGGGGAGGTTGGGGCCCTGGTTTTGGAATTTGCCTCTGGTCTCACTGGGTGGGATGGATCAGAGTGGGGTAAGCCAGGATGGGGCACATGAATGCCTCCACTTAGACCTGTAGGATAAAAGCTCACTGGTGTGTCTACAGTTGTGAGCTTCATGCCCTGTAGGTGCTCCCCCAGGCTTAGGTTCCATAATAGGACAGCAGGTAGACTCAGAGTCCTGAGCCTTAGCAGTGTGTTTGTTTGATTAGCAGGGTCTGCTCTGGGCTCCTGAGGGGCGTGGGGCGCAGGAGTGTCAGGGGATCAGCCTCTGGGTCTGTGGTTTCACCAGACATCAAAACTGCACAGTTGAGAGTGTGGAATTATTTTGATTCTGACTCAGCGCTCCCTCTCCAGCAGTTGTCTACACTTGCCACTGAGCCCCTAGCACCCTGAAGGGAGCAGGGGCCATGGGAGAGGGGTAAGCAACCCCAAGGGGGTTGAATCTGGCTCTATCAGATTGTTGGTGAGCCTGGGGCCAAACTAGTTTCTGGGCAAAATTTCAAAAACGCTGATGTGGCAGCAGTGGTTTCATTATTATGGGTCTCATTTCATGCTCACATCTCTCTAGCCACAGGAGTTCTTAACCTGGGGTCTGTGGATAGAATGCAGGGGGTCCATCCATGAACTTAGATGGGGAAGAAAATTGCACTTTTATTTTCATTAGCCTTAACTGGAATTTAGCATGTCGTTCCACTTGGTTGTAGGCAATGAGGCACAGTTATCTTAGCACACACCTGTGGCTCGGTCACCAGTAGGAGTCACAGATGTTTTTCCCATTACATCACAGTTGTGGAGCTATCTGAAAAAGCAGTTTACACTTGTCACAACTTTAAAGTTATGGCCGTTATTAGATGCACTGTTGGATGTTTAATACTTTAATAGAAGCTTTTATGACTCTATCACAGGTGTCTTTTCTTTTTTTTTTTTTTTGAAACAGAGTCTTGTTCTGTCACCCAGGCTGGAGTACAGTCAGACAAGGGATACTCAGCCTGTATCTCAGTATATTTTTCTTTCTTTTTTTTTTTTATACAGTCACCAAGGCTGGCAGGCTGGGGTGCAGTGGCACGATCTTGACTCACTACAACCTCTGCCTCCCAGGTTCAAGTGATTCTCCTGCCTCAGCCTCCTGAGTGGCTGGGATTACAGGGATGTGCCACCACGCCTGGCTTATTTTTGTATTTTTAATAGAGATGGCATTTCACCATATTGGCCAGGCTGGTCTCGAACCTCTGACTTCAGGTGATCCACCTGCCTTGGCCTCCCAAAGTGCTAGGATTACAGGCGTGAGCCACCATGACTGGCCGTCTATCACAGTTTTCAGTAGTTTGATAAATGTGTTTAAATAGAATTGATTTCCTTTGTAATTCTAAATGTGTTGTTTAATACATTTCAAAGCATTGTTCTGTCCAGGCGCAATGACTCACGCCTCTAATCCCAGGACTTTGAGAGGCCAAGGTGGGAGGATTGCTTGAGCCCAGGAGTTCAAGACCAGCCTAGGCAACATAACAAGACCCCATCTCAAAAAAAAAAAAAAAAAAAAAAAAGATGAAATAAATGAAAGTATTGTTCTTTGAAAGAGATCATGGGCCTCCCTAGACTTCCACAAAGGTCCATGCCCCCAAAATGGTTATAAGCTCTTATTCTAATTGGAAATTTGGAGCCTTTCTTGATATTTGAAATTAAAAATTATTAATTCATCTTTTTTTTCTTTGTAAAATATTGTGACTCTGTTAACAAGAGTCCTTGCTCTTTAGAAAAATGTACTGAGGGCCTGATGCAGTGATCCTAAGTGTTTTGTTTTATACTCAGATCAAGTGATCTGCCTACCTTAGCCTCTCAGAGTGCTGGCTCACGCATGTAATCCCAGCACTTTGGGAGGCGGAAGTAGGCAGATCATCTGAGGTCAGGAGTTTGAGACCAGCCTGGCCAACATGGCGAAAACCCATCTCTACTAAAAATGCAAAAATTAGCCCTTTATGGTGGCACGCACCTATAGTTCCAACTACTCGGGAGGCTGAGGCACAAGAATCACTTGAACCCAGCAGGCGGAGGTTGTAGTGAGCCAAGATCATGCCACTGTATCCCAGCCTGCCAGCCTTGGTGACCATCTCAAAAAAAAGGAAAAAAAAAGAAAAATATACTGAGATACAGACTGAGTATCCCTTGTCTGAAATGCTTGAGGTCCAAAGTGTTCTGGATTTTTGATTTTTTAGAATTCTGGAGTATTTGTATTATACTTAATGGCTAAGCATCCCAAACCCAAAAGTTCAAAATCCAAAATGCTCCAGTGAGCATTGCTTTTGAGCATCATGTCAGTGCTCAAAATGTTTTAGATTTTGGAGAGGTTCAGATTCTGGGTCTTTGGAAGCGTTTCGGATTTTGGGTTTTTGGATTTGAAATGCGCTACCTATATTTACAGATAAAAGGAAAAAAGGAATGAATTAACCCCAAAACCATGAGGGACAGCAGGGTTGAGAAGTGTCTCCAGAAGGCAGGTTCCTGTATGAGACTGTGAAGGGGGTACTTATTTTGGGGGGATGCTTGGAAGTCACCATTAGGAGGCCACCAGAGTCTTAGCATCATTTCAGGAGCTCTCCCTGGGTCACTTAGCCGTAGCCAAGCCAGGCAGCTCCCTGGTCTTCTGGCGGTGAGCTCGTTTCCATCTGTCGAGCCTACCTGGCTCTATTTGGAACGCGAGTCCCTTATTTTTCATCAGACCTGGGCCGTGCCCTCCTTGTGCTTCTCTGTACCCCGTGTTCCCCAGTCCAATGCTGGGCACCCAGTGAGAACCGAGTGTTTGTCGGGTTGACCTAAGTCAGGCTGTCCTTGTATAAGCTTATCTTATTTGAAGTTTTAGTCGTTTGCAAGTCTTTTGAAAGCTTTGGACAATAACTCTGGAAAATACACAGATTTGCATATCTGAAATTTGCATACATTTCAGGGTGTGGATCCCAGAAAGCCTACTGGGAATCCGAGTCCAGGACCCTGGCCAGTACTGCTGCTGCTCAGTGGTCATGGCGACACTTGCGGTGCTCACTGTGTGCCAAGCGCATCATTTCTTCCATCTCTCTGAGAGTCAGCTTCCATTATCCCCATTTTTCTGAAGGATAAGATGGAGACCTTTTTCAAGATGGAGACCTTTATAGGGGGTTAAGTAACTTGTCCGAGGTCACAGAGCTAGGGTGTGACTGAGCCCTTGGATCCCAACCCAGGCAGTTAGATTCTTCGCTGGAAGTGTCCTAGGCGGGAGGTTACCCATTCTCCCCGAACCAGCAGGTCTTCCAGATTAGCAATTACAAACTCCCTGACCCCACCTTGGCAGGAAAGGCTTCTTTTTTTCCCGAGACAGGGTCTTGCTCTGTCACCCAGGCTGGAGTGTGGTGGTGTGATGTTGGCTTACTGCAGCCTTGACCTCCTGGGCACAATCGATCCTCCCACCTTAGCCTCCCAAGTAGCTAGGACTACAGGTGCGCGCCACCATGCTCGGCTACTTGTTGTATTTCTGGTAGAGACGGGGTTTTGCCATGTTGGCCAGGCTGGTAGGAAGGCTGCCTTATATTTAACCCAGCTCTCTGTTCTGACCAGTGTTGCCCATGACGCTCATGTCCTGAGGTGGGCAGTGTCAGCCGCCTTGGGTAGGGCAGGGGGCTCATGGGTGGCCACCAGCCTCTGCCTGTTCTCCCAGACCCTTCTCCACCATTTCCCCTCCCCTGCAAACAGCAGAGAGGAGAGCCAGCCCCTTTCCTCATCACATTGCTTGTGTCTGCCTGAGCTCCTCTGTAGTGTGCTTGGGCCTGCCATGTGGTTGGGCCACAGATGAACACAGGCTTTTCTTTTTTGGACTTTCTGCAGGCGAAGCTGGTCCGGTACATTTGTAAGCAGAGGCAGTGCAAGCTGAGCGTGGCTCCTGGTGAGAGGACCCCGGAGCTCAACAGCTACCCCCGCTTCAGTGACTGGCTGTACACTTTCAACGTGAGGCCGGAGGTGGTGCAGGTATGTAAGCCGGGGCTCAGCACGGGCATAGGCGTGAGGGGCCAAGCAGAGGGAACACACACAAACCCGAGGGCTAGCTTCCCCGTGGCTAAGACTAAGGGTTGATGTTCTCTACACTTGAGAAGGAGGATGGGGAGGGACAGCAGCAGCCAGGAGGGATCCAGGGTACATGTGGCTCCAACAAGTGTCCTGGGTGCTATTGCCTGATGAACTAGGGCAGCCCCACACTGGGCATTGATTTGTTCATCATACTTACAACAGCCAACATATCTGGAAGCACTGGCTGTGTGGCAGACACTGTGTTAAACGTTTCTGTGTTTCGTAAGACAGATAATCTCACTTCTCATGAACTCCTATAAGGAAATTACTGTCATTGTTGCCATTTTATACTTGAGAAAATTAAAGCACAGAATGGTTAAGTAAGTTGTTTAAAATCACACAGCTAGTAAATGATAGCCTTGGAATTTGGAAATGAGAGTCTGAATTTAGTTTAGTCTTCTAACTGCCACAATATGCTGCCTTCCTTCCATCGTTCTCTCTTCCTGTGTGTGCAGCCTACCCACCTGCCAGCTAGCCAACTAACCAACCAGCGCACCCGGACTGTGTGCTGTGCCAGGTGCCAGGGATGCAGGTCAGCTGTCATGGAGTGCAGATTAGTCCTACTTGGCAGGCATGGTTCACCCAGTCAGATCTCATAAATCTCCTACTTCTATCCTAAAATTAAAAATACTGGCTTTTGCTGCTGTGTAAAAAGTAGCATGAATTCATTATGTATAGATACTTTGGAAATAGAGAAGGAAAGAAATCACATACATACTCCTAACACTTAGAAAATCTATGATCATTAAGGTCTTTTTTTTTTTTTTTTCCTTCCTCTCCCCGATACGGAAATCTTTTAAAAATTTCTATCTGGACGGTTCTGTAAGGTAGTCACAAGCCTCATGATTGTCAAGCACTTAGAACATGGCTAGTCCAAATTAAAATGTGCTATAACGTCTTGCCTTGCTCTTACCAGTGTGGGCAAGGCCCTGTGGCTCTCCCCCAAGGCACACTGCAGACCTGCCTGCCTCTCCCTCCCTGCCTCCAGCACCATGGTCCAGGCCACTGTCAGCTCCTGCAGAACCTCTGCAGTGGCACCTCACCCCTTGCATTCCATTTTCCACCCAGCAGCCAGGGTGCTCACCTAGAAAGGTGACTTGGATCCCATCCTTTTTCAGTGCTTCCTGTTTCCTTCAGAATGAGTGCCAGATGCCTCCCTTGACCTGGCCTCTCTCGCCGCAGCTTGGTCACCTTCTCCTTTGCTCAGTAGACTCTGACCTTTGCATTTGCTCCCCGCTTCCTTGGAGTGCTCTGCCCATAACTCATCCCTTGAATATTTTTCTGGTGTTGAGTATTGTCACCACCTCCAGGCAGTCATCCCTGATGATGTGATCTAAAGATCACCCCCTGCCCATCATTCTTGCCTGCACACCTGGGTTTATTTTCTCAATGACACCGACTACTTTCTGGAGTGACCTAACTGATTTGTTGTCTGTGGTCTGTCTGCTCCCCCTGGGATGCGAGCACCATGAGACAGGGCTTTGCTGTTTGGGTTTGTTTGCCACAAAATCCCCATTGAGTGTTGGGCCCAATATGGCAGTTGCCTGGTTGCAACAGATATAAAAATAAATACCTATTTATTTATTGAATAAGTAGATTTCATCATGACATGGGGGATGTCTCCAATAGCCCAGGGTTTGGCCCCGAGTGGGTGGTAACACAGGTTACTCTTAGCTCTGGCTTTCAGTTTAAGCCCTGCAAGAGAGGCCAGTGTAGGGATCATGGCCCCAAAGAACCCCCTTCCCAGCTATGCCTGGCTGCTATGAGTCACCTCCATGAGTCACCTGCCATGAGCCCTGGGAGAATTGGTGCCCCCAGGGGAGATGGCCCTCTCCAGGAAGGCTAGGGCAAGTGCCCCAAAGATTTCTTGGGTGCAGTAGCACTCCCCACTTCCCATGCCAACGTCCTTTTCATTCATGAAGGACTTGTGCTGCCAGGAGCCCAAGCAGCCCTTTCCTGGGAGGCCTCTGCTGTCTGATTATTGAGCTGCACTGGTGGCCACAGTGGGGTCCTGGGGCCCCTGAGAGCCTCTGGGTTCTTTTTGCCTCAAAGTTGACACAGAGCACATCTGGCGTGTCATGATGGGTGCACTGATGTGTTATTTAATTATCCCAACACCCTGCTTAATAGAGACCATTTTCCCCATCTCACAGTTGAGGAAGCTGGCACTCAGTGGGTACAGAAACTCACCAGGGTCCTAGAGACACAGAGGAGCAGAGCCGGGTGCCCCTCCACACCTGACACTGAGTCCTCCATCACCAGGATCCCAGAGCCAGAGAGGAGCAGAGGCGGGTGCCCCTCCACACCTGACTCTGAGTCCTTGGTCTCAACCACTTCTCTCTCCTTCTTGGAATGCCTGAATTCAGGCACCCCGCCAAGCCCTTTCACCTTCCGAAGCTCCAGTCTCCTCCTTTTGTGAAACGGGAATAACCCATGTGCTGCTTGCTGGCACAGGTAGTTGTGAAAGTCAAGTGCTTAGAGGCGGAGGTGGAGGAGGAAAAATTAACAATTTCCCACCTCTCTCTTGCCCTCAGCTGCTATTAATCCCAGGTGAGAGCCAGACCCAGGAGAGGCAGCTAGAGAGGCCTGTACACAGGGCAGCTCTGAACAGCCTCCTGGGGAGTGAAGGAAGGCTGGGATCGGCTGACTAGAGGCAGTTTTCTGAATCAAGAGAGGGAGCGGGAGTCAGCCCAGAGCTTAGGACAGAAAGGGTGGCACACCAGCCTGACAGAGCTGGGCCAAGTGTCCTCCTTCCATCCCCCAAATTGGTACCAAGGGTGTCCTCCCCAGCAGGGCCAGGAGGAAGTGAGGCTGGAGTGGATGGGGAGCAGAAGGAGGGTGGACTGGGCTGCAGGAGCCTGTTGGAGGTACCTGGGCCTGGCAGCTTTCTTCCTGGGCTTTAAGAACCACAAGGAGCCATTAGTTGCTGTCACTACATCTTCCCCAGACTCTCCAGAAACCCCTTCTCAAGATTTCTCTTTTTCTTCCTCCCAAATCTCATGTCAGTTCCTGGGCTGTAGCCAGAATATTCTAAAGCCTAGAAAGAAAAGGCTATTTCCTTTACTAAACCCAGCTTCAGCTCCTACAGACTGGAAGGGGGCTACCTTGGTTCAGTTCTACCTCTGGGAGTTTCTCCTTGTACGTGCTTGGAAGCCTAGTGATGGGGGAACCCTGAGTTAGAGCAGCTCCCCAGGGCTTGGACTCCAAGGGCTGACGCCAGGGGTATGGGTCTATTTTATTCTGTTTCTTAACCCAGACAGTTGTTTGGATTCTGACTCGATACCCACTGCTGCCCCTGGCCGTGATGGATTCTGTGTGCTTTCAGTTGGAATTGGCTCTATAAGTTCTGCCCATCAAAGATAGGCGCAGTATTCAGAAGCCAAAGTTCCAAACAGCATTAAAAACCCATGCCTTTCAGAGAATCTTTTGAGTTCTTAACCCATTTATGCCGGAGGTTGCAGTTTTTTGAATTTTTGCAATCAGACCTTGGCGATGACCTTGAGCAGTAGGATATAAATAACTCCCATGTGCTTAGCATTCCAACAATGGAACACTAGGCATACGTGGGTTGTCATCTAAAGCAGGGGTCCCCAACCCCGGCCACTGACAGGTACCAGTCCACTTGGCCTCTTAGGAACCAGGCCACACAGCAGGAGGAGTGCGTTTATAGCTGCTCCCCATTGCTCGTGTTACCGCCTGAGCTCCACCAGCTGTCAGATCAGCAGCAGCGCCTACTTCTCCCAGGAGCACAAACCCTGTTGTGAACTGCGTATGCGAGGGATCTAGGTTGTGTGCTCCTTGTGAGAATCTAATGCCTGATGATCTGTCACCATCTCCCATCACCCCCATATTGGACTGTCTAGTTGCAGGAAAACAAGCTCAGGGCTCTCACTGATTATACATTATGGTGAGTTGTATAATTATTTCATTATATATTACAATGTAATAGAAATAAAGTGCATGACAAATGTAATGCACTTTAATCCTCCGGAAACCATCCCCCACTCCCTGTCTCTGGAAAAATTATCTTCCTTGAAACCAGTCCCTGGTGCCAAAAAGGTTGGGGACCACTGTTCTAAACCATTGTTTATTTTCTTAAATAAACTTTTTACTTCGGAATAATTTTAGATTTACAGAAAAGTTGCAGGGATGTACAGAGCGTTCTCGTATGTACCCCTCACCCGGGTACCCAGTTTCCCCATCATTAACGTTGTCATGACCAGGGTGCCTTTGTCAAAACTGAGGAAATGACCCTGGTATATTACTATGAACGAAACTCCAGACTATTTAGGTTTCACCAGTTTTTCCTTTACTGTCCTCTCTCTTTTCTAGGATGAATCCAGGGCACCACATGGTTTACATTATTTTGATTTGTCATGTCTTCCCAGTTTCCTCTGCTCTGTGACAGTTTCTCAGTCTTTCCTTATTTTTCATGACCTTGACACTACTTTGTTTTTTGGAAGTGAGCCCTCCCTTAGGATTGGGGGGCATGGGGGGTAGGTGGGTTAAGCTCCATCTCCTCTAGGGGTATATCTACACAGATTATTTGGAACTTTTCTATAGGAAAGAGTTGTCTTTTCTCCTCCATTTATTTATTCATTCAGTCATTTATTTATATCAGTATGGGCTCATGTCTTTTTCTTTTACACATTGGGTTCTAATCCAATACTACATGAATTTTTTGTTGCTCAAGTTCTTCCAGCTTTGGCCATTGGGAGTTCTTGCAGGTTTGTTCCTGCATCCTGTGATATGCCCCATCCTTCAGTTTTGTTTGGGGGGGGGGGTGTGTGTGTGTGTGTGTTGAGCACTTCCTTTGCTTTCTGACACTATGGTATGCTGCAGCCCCCTCTTTTTTTTTTTTTTTTTTTTTTACTAACCCCACTTCTAGAATCAGTTATTTC